TATTTTTGGCAAGTAATGATTTTGTTACTTAAATATTGTCTTCCGACAGTTTATCCTAGTGTGATTTATCTTTGTATATTTTCCCTTCAATGTAGCTGAGTGCCAGTAATGATGAGGGATCAAGTCCTTGGAGCCCTGTTGTTACGTTTTCAACACTTCCCGATAAACCTGATAAACCTGGGAAACCTTGTTTGAAAGGCCGGGCACATTCAACCTTTTTCAAAGTGGCATGGGGTAAGTGTGAGTGAGATAAAAGAATAATATATAAACAGATTATGCAGCTTTTATTAGAATTAGGTAATAATTTCATAATATAATGTCAAAAAAAGTTGTAATATTACTTGAATTTTGAACTATTAAGTTAGGAAATAGATTGAGTGGAAGAAATTTTGATCATTACATTTTTCATTATTATTCAACAATGGTTTGCAGCTTATATTTTATTAAATACCATTTTGGAACAGCTTTGTATTGTAGTTGTGTTTTTAAATTTTTTGTAAATAGAGGAAATTCCTTTTAAAAAGGGAGAAAGTTGCAAGGAAATGTGCACTTGTAGTTAAATGCATAATTACACAAGTTTATGAAAGCATAACTAAAAATACACTACATGGAAAATTACTGCAAAATTTGTTTAGTCAAGGCTGATCATAAACAATGTTAATTTTTTTGTATACATCTCTAAAAAGTAGTAATACCAATTTTTCCATACCATAAACTTGCTCAAATATCTTAATAGAGTTTAAGAACTTAAATTAATTCCAGAAAGTAACCCTATAATTTAGTTTTAAACTTGCCTAATTTCCATATAATACTATTGAAAAAATTTGAAACATTACAAGAATTATGAAAATGTTATGTAGAAAATCAAATGAAGTAGAAGGCATTATTAACATATGAGGTATTTTCTCCCTCTTTCAGTATGTCTTCATGGTGTAACTGTAACAAACTTGGTATATATTCGAAAGGTCCAGGTTCGAGTCCGGACGAGGGCATTGCACATTTTTCACATATCCTACTCCAAATAATCTAATGAATATACAAATGTTATGTTACCAATAAATTTGCTCAATGCACAGGCATCAGAAACCTTCAGTTTGTAAGAAAAGTACAAAATCAATGAAATGTTATTTAAAAAAGTATGATCATATTTTGCCTTCTCTGTTGCTCAGTTTTCTTATTTACATTATGATTAAATTATTAAATCTGTTGAAATCATTAACTAAATAAAATGATTAGTTATTCATGTCTGAAATCTAAGGACACAAGAATTTCCCATAATTATATGAAGGGGATTGGGAGATTTTACAGAATGCATAGAAGAAAATAAATGAAATATGACAGACTAGTGGAAACATTAAAATTGTGCAATATCATTTTCTTTCTCTTAGTGTACTCATAGTTTATCAGAATGCCTTAGAGTAGTAGATCTTGTGAAATTATAAAACATAGAAATCTACATAAATTTTATTATCAGTTCTCTGAACTTTAAATTTCTAACAAAAGAAAAGGTAGGAGAGGGAGAGAGAGCTTGTCAACACTTAAAAATAAATTCCTGAAGTTTTGCGCAAAGACTATACTGGATTGTTTGAATGTGACAAATCACACTACAACTATTTGCCAATAGGAAGAGGTGTATTCATGGGACTTACTAATGTAACAATGCTAAAGGAGACATTACAGTGTGAAAAGACAGCAATACAATTACTAATACTAATAGTGTTAGTTATTATACTGTTTAGGGTAAGGAAATATTAGTGTTACTACTTTTTAGAGCTGTTGTGTAGAAAAAATTAATAAGGTTTGTGGTCACCCCTAGCTTAAATGAAAGTTTTGCAGTAATTTTAATTTTGCTGTATTTTTAGTTATGCTTTCATAACCTTACTTAATTATGCATTTAATTATAAGTAGACATTTTTCTGCAACTTTCTTCAGTCTTATATTTTATACTCATTTATTTTTTATTTTAAAAACTGGCTACAATGGGATTTTGAGTGAAAAAAAAACATATTCATTGAGCAATACCAATCATATATATAACTAAAGAAAAGCAAGTTTAAGAATTTTTTATGAAAATACATCATGAAAAAATATTACTTGTGTACGGGTTCATAATGGATTGAATGCACACAAAACTAATGATGGGTTGGTAAAATTTATTTGTCCAAAAGAAATGCTTCACAATTCTGGAACTTTTGACGGAAGTACTTGCACAGTTCTTCTCAGTATGACAGAACACAGTCAGCACTTCAAATTATTTAGAATGTTGAACACGATGTAATGCAAAGTACATCTGAAAAGCGAAGCTTGAGCAGAAACCTTTCAATATTCCAAACTCAGTTCTGAACTGAAAAATGAGAATTGATGCTCTCTCCAGTCTTAGTTTTTCCCAGGCTAGTGAGAAATTTCAATTACTTTTGATTTCTCAAAATTACTAGAAGGCATATATAGTTACATAGGGCTAGATATGATTACAGTTACATATAGTGATCAGACCAATTGCAGTTATAGAGTAATTGGATCGAAATTTTGCAAGTTTGGCAAATTTTGGTGATTTCTTGCTAAATTTGGTGACAAAAATTAGTTGCCAAAACTATCACCAGCTTGGCAGTATCTTGCCAGTTTTACAAGATAGCTATTTTTGGTCAATGTTAAATGGACCTGCTCCTGTAATCTTATTTTTCCTGTGGAGCTTAACATTTGGAAGCATTTTTCATGTGGCATTATATGAGAGATGCTATGATTAACATGTAATGTCTTTAAAATTACTTAGATATGTACAAAATTAGTAAAATTGCTCCCTCCTCAAGGATTACATGTCCCAGGCAGTACCGTTTCTTGACAGGAAGCTGTACTTTAACTGAGGAAAATCAGTGCAATACTATAAAATCATTTCAATAACCAATCAAATACTAAATCAGTGCAATACTATAAAATCATTTCAATAACCAATCAAATACTAAATCAGTGCAATACTATAAAATCATTTCAATAACCAATCAAATACTAAATCAGTGCATGAATTTCCAAGTTTATATATGCATAAAGGCAGTACCGTTCCTTGACAGGAAGCTATACTTTAACTGAGGAAAATCAGCGCACTACTATAAAATAATTTCAATAACAAACCAAATACTAAATCAGTGCAGGAATTGACAAGTTTATATATAAGACCATAGCGTTAGTATCTCTTTATATTATATAATACACTTTGAGGATTGTGCACCATGTTTATAATATGGGTCGAGGCTGTCATAATGAGGGACTTTAGGCTTAGAATTTGATGATTTGTGGCAGAATTTGATGAACTTAGTTTTTGATGACATACTGGTAGAATAGGCTAGTAAGAACAAAGGTAACTTCTGGTTCCAGTCCTGTTGCTTTCTAGAAACCATCAGCAAGAAATTATTAAGGGTCATTTAAACATCTCTGCTATGCCATCTGACTGTGAATCTAAAGATGTTATTTGAGTTCTTGTCTATGTGGAATAGTTTACAGAGTTCTTTCACAGCTGAGATGAAATTCTTCCTGTGATTGGAATTTACCTGAAGAAGCACTCCAAACCTGGAAATCCAGTGCTGTATTATTCATCATTACCTCTGCTACTGTGACAGCCTCTATAGAAGGCATCGCCATTTCAACGTGATGATCTTATCTAATGATGAATAGTGATGTCATATTCCTGGAGTCTCACTATCCATCTGACTTTTTCACTTTTGGGATTCTTGAAATTCGAAGATCCAGGTACAGTGCATGCTGCCGTAGATTATGTAATACTATACAGAAATATTATACAGATTTAACTATGGTGAGCAAGTCTTTTCTGGTGACACAGTAGTTCCTCTGCAGTTAAGATAAATCTTGACATGTTCTTACCATTAATTTCTTGGGATATAATAGCACCAGTACTTTCATCGCTCATATCTATGCCAAGTATAAATGTTTTCTCGAGCTGAGAATACATCAGGATTGCCACTGATGTTAAATTAGCCTCCTTCAGCTTGTTGCTTGTTAAATGCATCCTCACATTCTTTTATCTACAAGAGCTTTTGCGTGCTCTCTCTCAGTTTGTGAAGGTATCTTAAGATGGAAGAAAATTCCTTGAGAAATTTTCTGTAGTAGGTGCAAAGCCCCAGCAAACGTTTTAGCTGATGACGATGTCATCCAAGTATATCAGACAAGCTTCATAGGAAAGACCTCTGAGCATGGTGTCCATGAGGCATTTGAATGTGGCCAGTATTTTACATTATCTAAATGGCACGACCTTGAAATGCTTAAGTCTTTGTTCGGTAGTAAATGCTGTCTTTTCTCAGTCATCAGGTGTATCTCTACCTAGTAATATCTACTCTTTAAATCAACTGTGAAAAGCCACTTGTTTCTGAATGAATGTTGAGAATGTTTTCATTTCTAAGAAGAGCATAGCTGTCTTTCTTCTTGATGTCGTTCAAGTGGCGATAGTCAGTGCGAAATCTACTTTATCCATCTTTCTTTCTGACCAGGATGATGAAAGTGGCTGAAGGACTTTGTTGAACAGGGTTCTTACAGTCCTTAAAGTCCTTAGTTTTTTTTTTTTTTTTTTTTTCTTTTTAAGAACCTGTTTTTGGTCCTAAAAAATCCTTAAAAAATTTCTGGGCAAGAAGTGAAGAAGCATTTTGAAATTATTTTATTTTTTCTAATCAAGTCTTAAATAACTTTTCGTTTTTGAGGATGTGAATTGTATATTAAATGGTTCTAAATTTGGTGACTTATCAACATTTTGAAGATTTTAAAATCAGTTTTAATAGAAAGTTTTCAATTCAGAGATCTGGGAATTTTTCTATGATTTTTTTAAAAAACATTATAACATTGATAAATTTCATTAAAATAATGGTAACATATTGAAATAATCAATAAGAAATAACATTAAAATAAAACATTGTTATTTTTCGTTGTCATATTATTAAGTGACATTACTTTTCATTTTGCCGAATTATTATACAGTATTTTGAATAATCTGAAAAAAATAAGTTAATAAATACTATGAAGCACAATTTACAAAACAGTTCTTAGCAAAAGCAAAATAGCTGTGTAATTAATTAAAATATCATCTTTTTAATTTTTTCATGGTAAGAGTTTTCCCAATGAATATTAAGGATTCTCAGAATATGCATCAGTTTTATCTGTAAAATTAATTTTACGCTTTTCCCGCCGGATTTATTTTCAAAATATATCTGGCTTTTTGCTGTTACAGAATTGGTAGGGTAGGTAAATTTTCTTTAGGATTTTAGCATTGCAAGCTTGGAAAGTTTAGAAGGATTTGAAGGCAAGATTTATAGACCTATGATTCTAAAAGATTCCAGAAAAGCATGACAAAATGAAAAATATCTTCATGATATTAACACATAATGGATGCATTTTATAAAAAGTTTGTGTTGAATTTCATACTTTTAGGAGAATTTTTGGAAGAACAACGAAAACATAATATTTGAATGTTGTACTTCTGATGCTAGAAGTTTTTCTTAACATGCTTATCTTCCCTTTTTTTTTCCCTACTTTCCACTAGACAAAAACATGGAAAATATGAAAAATGCTTCAATCTTATCACATGGACAGGCATTTATAGAAAGGAATTTTTCTATTAATAACTTGAAAACATGACCGTTTAAAGTATTCATTTTATATGTCTCAGTGCATCGTATAAGGGTTGGCGCTAGGCATTTTCCCACCTGATGCAATCTCTGTGAATCCTAAATTCTGCTGCCTAGTGCCTTCCTAAATTCTGCTTTCCAGTGCCTGTCCTTAATTCTAAAAATGTTGCCATTTCTAGATTTTGTTGCTCAGTGTGTCACCACACTGGCTCTATAGTCAGCCCTTACCGTGTCTGTTTTCTGAGAAGCAGTGCGATGGCAGGCCTTAGCTTCGGAATCCCACCCATTTGCATTTGCCACTATGGAGAACTGAGTCTTGTTCACTTGCCAAGAGGTCTTTCCATCATTCACGTATAGCTTTAGAGGGCGTCAAGAAGACAGTTACAAGTTTAAGGCTGTCAAGCTGCCAGTATGGATTTCTTTAGACAGTCAGCTTCCTTTGCCAGTTTGCTGTTCAAAAAGCAGAAACTCTTATCTTCGGTTTGTTGTTCAGCAGCAGAAACCCTTTCTTCAATTTCTTCAACTTTATTTTCAACCATGTTTATCCTATCCTGCCTTCCTTATAGTTTTAAACTTGTTTTCTGTTATGGCAGTAATTTCTTTTTTTTTTCATTTTCTCTTGACTTGCTTCAATCTTTTCTTGGCCAGCTTCCAGCTTTTTTTCTTTTTTTGAATGGCTTTCACCTCTTTGAGAGATTCTTGGTCTGTTTTCATCTCTTCTTTAATGGATTTTTATAATGCTTTCATCCTTTTTTTTTTAAATGCAGCCAAGAATGTCAATAGCTGCTTCTCCATCGCTCTTGTTGCTGGCATTTAATCACTATTCTGATGCCAAAAATTGTTACGTGGGTTTAAGTATTACAGAGCACAATCAGTAGTCATCAATTCAACTACTAAGAACATTAAACACAGCGCATTGCAAAGTGCATCGAAAGAACAGAGCTTGCATGGAGATCTCATAGTACTCTAAACTGAAAATTGAGACTTGCTCTCCCTGGTCTTATATAGGTTTGCCTGAGCTGTCAAAAAATTTCTAGTATCTTTGATTTCTTGAAATTGCTAGAAAGCATATGATAGCCTGATATGGTTACAGCTACATATGGCAGTCAGAACAATTACAGTTACACAAGGATCAGATCGCACATACCGGGTGGCCATAATTAAACTGACAGTGCTCACAGTGTTCTGTAGCGTGATCTATTTGCGAGAATGACGTCACATTTTGTAAGAAGATTAAACAAGACGGGGGACGAAGGATTCCACGAAAAACAAATTAGTTCTAAAAGTCACCGCTAGAGGAATATTTGGCACTGTGTAATAGAAAATAGAGTGTTAACAAATGCAAATTAATACGGAATAAAATTACCTTTATTATGCATATTTTCTGATTTAGTTCAAGTGCAATATGGCAACACTTTTAAAAAAGCGTGAAATCTACATAAACACCGAAAGTCTCGGAATCTGCAATATCACGTACGCTGAGCAGAAGAAGTTCTTTATTCAAATTTTACGTTACATTTATTCGCACAGTGCCAGCTGCTCAGGTTTTAAAAGGCAATATGTTACATTTCGAATCAATAGGATTGAAAGTTTATGTGCAATGTCTCCTTCTTTAGTCGAGCGTGCATTACTGGTCAAATTCTTTTACCTCAACCAGTGCAACGTGTCAGCCGCTCTTCATGCTTTTAGAACGCATAAAAAAGAATGCGTAAAGGTAATGGTCATGTGTCAGTTAATGGGCTATAAGCAATGGTTGCGACGTTTGAGAAAACAGGTTCTCTGAAGGTTCAGTCAGGCAGAGAACGAAAACCTGTACCACAGGATACAGTTGCCACGATGATTGTCGACAGAGCAGCAGACAATATTGCTGCTACCTCTAGCGCTCGTGGAGTAAGTAGCTTGGAATATGGATATGCCTTACAGTACGGTATGGAAAATCTTACGAAAGATTATCAACTTCTATCCTTACAAGATCAGCCGTGTACAGGAGTTACTGTTCCCCGACCATGATAAGTGATTGACTTTTGCTCTCACCTTTCTTGCCAGAATGGAGGTGGATGATGCTTGGCCGTGGAAAATCTTATGGGGAGACGAGGCCCACTTTTACCTGAATGGAACTGTGAATACCCAGAACTGCCGAATTTGGGATGACAACCCACCACATGCAGTCACAGCAATTCCCTTACATTCACCAAAGGTAACTGTTTGGTGTGGGTTCACAGCGGAATTTATCGTAAGTCCATTCTTCTATAAGAACATTACTCTGACAGGACCGGTAACCTGTTCTGTTACCGGAGAGAAATATCGAACACCTTTGTCATTTTGGCACTTCAGCAAAGACGGGGGAAATCATTTTCATGCAAGATGAAGCCCCTCCACACGTTGCTGTACGGGTGCAACAGATGCTACAACAGAAATTCATAACAGAAAGAGTCATTAGCCGCTACTTTCCAACTGCATGGCCACCTCAGTCGCCTGATCTTACCCGATGTGACTTCTGGCTATGGGGTTACCTTAAGTCCAAGGTCTATCAAGGAGTGGTCCAGGACCTGGCTGCATTGAAGGATAACATATCAGAGACTGTACGGGAGATTCCTGCAGACATGTTACTTTCTGCTGTTGCACATACTGTGCACAGAATGCAATATGTAGTCAACAACAACGGCAGCCACATTGAACCTCATTTGAATGCAAAATAAAAGGTAATTTCCGTATTGATTTGCATTTGTTAACACTCTATTTTCTATTACACAGCACCAAATATTCCCCTAGCGGTGACTTTTGGAACTAATTTGTTTTTTCGTGGAATCCTTGGTCCCCCGTCTTGTTTAATCTTCCTACAAAATGTCGTGTCATTCTTGCAAATAGATCAAGCTACAGAACACTGTGAGCACTGTCAGTTTAATTATAGCCACCCAGTACTTGCCAAGATTGGCAACTTTTAGTGATTTATTGCCAAATTTGGTGACAAAATATGGTTGCCAAAGGTATCACCAGCTTGGTGCTATCTTGTCATTTTCATAAGAAAGCTATTTACTTCAATATTAAATGAACCTGCCCCTGTAATCTTATTTTTACAGCGTTGCTTTGCATTTCAAGGCATTTCATATTACATTATACAAGAGATACTACAATTTACATACACTGTCACTAAAATTTCTTAAAAATATAAAAAATTCATAACAAAAGAAAAAAAAGTCCTTGAATCCAAAGTCAAAAAGTGTATTGAGGCATTAATGATTCCACATTCATGCGTTTATGTGATATGACTTTTGTAGGAACATTATTTTGAATAATTAGACTTTATAAATGAAATTATATGGATTTTCATAAATGAATATTATATTAGACTTTTTTATTGTTTGTATATTTTGCAGATCCACCTAAGGATGATGGTGGTTGCCCCATAACAGAATATCAGTTGGAAATGGATTGTGGAGATGGTAAATATTTAGTTCTGAAATTGGAAGGGAAATATTTCTTTCCTCCTCACCAGGAAAATTTGTTATTTTGAATTATTTTCATCTGTTTTAAATCGTACTTATTTTATAATTGTCAGTCTTGTTAGATATTTCATGTTAATTTTAATGCAATAGATATGATTATAAAGAAACATTTTGTCTGAGAAATACTTGCAGCTGTAATGTATTAGTTATGTGCTTGAGAGGAACATTATTTCATTTAATTTTAATGTATTTTACAAGAAAAAAGAAGTGGGCAGATTAAATTGCTGGAAAGTGGGTTATTTTAATATATGTTTTGAAAATTAAAACATATAATTTTTCTTTGCTAGCCTGCAAACTTGTATAAAACTTGCTGTCTTTAATGATGTGCATGATGCTTCTCATATTCTGTTGCATTATAACTTTATATATGCTTAGAAGTTTAGCTAATATGTAATTATTTTCCTTCTTGCATGAGTATATATTATTTTGTCTGATTTCTTAATTACTGATATTTCCTTCTACAGGTTTTAATTTAATTTATTCTGGTCAAGAATTAGAATTTTTATGTGAGAATCTGCTGCCAGGGAAGTCTTACTCTTTTAGAGTTCAGTGCATTAGTCCAGGAGGAACAAGTGCTGTAAGCTGTTTGAATTAATAGATTTATATGTTATCCTAGTTCTTGAATTCTAATGTGTACCATTTACTTTTAAAACATAACTGCAAATTAATTCTATGATTTAAACTAGTAATTTAATTGTTTTGGAATTCAGACTGTGTAATATTTCTTACACACTTTTTATTAAAATGTGATGAGTTATAAAGTATGTTTCATGTGGGCATTTTTAAGTGCCCAAAACATGTATTACATTATCAGTTGTAATGTATAAATTTCATTTAATGTACAGAATGCTTCAAAATGATGAACCTGAATTTAGATTAAGTGATCTCTTACATGTTATTTATGTATTAATTTGATATATGTCAGATGAAAAAGGAGATCTCAGTTTTAAAATATCAAAACGCTGATATTTTTTTTTAAAGTTTCTTTTAATGGAGAGAATGAATCACAGTTAATCTAATGATTTAAAAGTTTTCATAGTTAGACTTGTGGATATCCGGATCTTAAAAACTCTTTCTTTTTGGAAAATATTTAAGATACTGTGTTACTAGAATTGTCTTAACAAAATTTATGCTGCTGCTATGGAGACAAAAACAAAGGATACTTTGGAGCAAATAGAGCAAGAATGTGATTATCTTTTCATTGTTATTAGAAGCATTACAAAACATTTGTGGGTGAAACATGTATGGTTTCCCTCATTTGTTGCTTTGCATTCCTAAATTCGAGTGATTTGAAGTACATCTGTCATTTTCAATCACTCTTACTATATGAGAATGTGGAGTATTTGATGCTTTCCATAAGTTGCTTTTAGTACCCTAATGTCTTTGCTAGAAGAAATTTTCGTTATATTTTTATTATTTATTCACAGAGTTAGATAGGTAACAATTTCGGGTGCTGCTTGACATATCATGTAACACCTTAGTGTGCATAGTATGGCTGTAAAGCAGTGTCGTATATGTGAGCTGCTCATAGAGTTCGTCATATCATAATTATTTTATATTTGTGGCAAGAGGAACAACTTTACATATGTTATGATGGATTTTAATACAACTGTATGTCAGATTTTATGCAACACCAATGAGTGACTTTTCGTCTAGGCAACTGACATGATTCAATTTATAACAACTAACATAACCATCTTGAATTCCATTGCTAACAGAAGGCTTCAATTTCTGTGACTGCAGTTTCCCAAATTGTGTTTCTACTGAATGGTGGAAGATAGTAAACATGTCATCTGGTTTAAGAACTGAAATTCTGTCTGCTATATTTGGTTGTAAGCCATTGATTTATGTGCAAGATGTTCAGAGAATTTGTCATGTGATATTGAATGTCAAAAAGCTCAAACTTACATCACTTTGTGACAAATTTTAATATAGCTTTTTGTCAGATAATGATAGATTATGTCTAGCATCTGCACAATGATTGTTCATTGGCAACTGGTGTGATTTAGTTGTATATGCTGATTTTGGATTCTGTTGCTAACAAGAAGACATCAGTTTCTGTGGCTGCAGTTTGCCAAATTCTGCCACTACTGAATGGTGAAATATTGTGACAGATGGTGGTGGGCCATGTCATCTGGTCCACCGAATTGAGATTACAGCTGCCGTATGTGGATGGTAGAGTTTGAATGAGGTGTAAACCACAGGGAGCACTACATCCCTTATGTCAGACAAGCACTATATAGGCTAGCGATGGTGCTGTTATTGTAAGGAGCATTTTTACATGGTCTTCATTGGATTCTCTTATCAGATTGGATGGAGCTTTTATTAGCTCAGTATATATTGAACTGTTGGCTGATTATTTATACTCTGCATGAGCATATTCTTAAGAAAGATGTGCTTAACTGTGTATAGCACAATCCCATCAGTCTTATGTTGCACAGAGTAGTTAAATGAGTACAGCAGTGAAACTGAAATACTTGCCTAACTCCAAAAAATTCTGTCAAACATTTGTGGGATGAGCTGCAACAGTCTGTTTACTCTTTGGACTCACCATCATGCTTTGTGGTGGCTTTTTGAAGAAAGCGCAGGATTGCTGGCCGCCTCATCAAGCACCCCTTTCTCACAGATATTGCTGCTGTTGTCCATACAAAAGGTAGAATGATGCAATATTAATCAGTGCGGATAATAATTTGTCTTTTCAATATACATACTAGTGCTATTTGAAATGTTTTCTGCATAAAAAGTATGTTATTGAAGTCTGTGGAATAATGTCATATGCAAAAAGAAATGTGAAAAATAGAAAAGTGTCAGATGTTCATTATAGTTATTTGAAGATGAACCAGTAAGAAAATAACAAAATAAACTGTTGTCAGTTTTAAAATGACAGCTGGTTAATATCTCTACATGAACTCAATGCTTTTAGGTGTTTCATGTACTCGAGAAGCACTGTTCATCAAACTGTTGACATTACAGATAATGCAGAGTAACTGCCCCAAAATGAGCCATTTCATAACTCTGCAAAGTTATGGTATTGACATTCTTCATAAAATGCCTGGAAAATATTCAGTAAGGTATGAAGTTACAGGTATCCAATGCATATGTTCCATTATATTTTACATTTGGCTGCAATCAGTGCTTGCTTTGTACTGAAGCTAAAGAAAATAAGTTCCTGAGTGAAAATGCTTTACTGCAACTTTCCAAGAAAAAGTTCAGTGAAAATTACTGTCATGTGAAATTGTATTTCACAAATTTCTGGTGAGTGATCAAAATTAAATTTTCATGTATTACAATGTTAGATTAAAAAATGCAGTAAAAATAAAACTGATACATGCTAGAAATGCAAGAGATCAGTTTCCAAAAATTATGGAAAATTAATAAAACATGTAATTTGTAGGGACTGTAGTCAATATAAATCATACAATACAAAATATTGCCTGTTAGATCTTGATCAATTATAAAATAGAAAGTTGAACTTATTTTTTCTCTTGGAGGCAATCCTATGTGTAATTTCAAGAATATATGCTCATATACTTAGTTTTAGTTATGAGCAACAATGCCAACGTTATTTATTGATTAATTTTTTTAATCTTATATAAGCTCATAAAACATGTTGTATACAGCTGTATTATGGTTTAATGTTTGTTGTTGAAAAATAAGCTAAATTTGGAACTTTGAACTATTGTTTATATTAAATTTTTTTTAATATAATGCATTCTTGATGATTCAAACCCATCAAAAATCTAGGCTTTAGTAAGGGGGGGATTCTTGTCTTTCGAATGTTAATAAATAAAATAAATAGGGAACTTTTCCTCAGTAGTTTGTTTTGCTTTAACTTCTAATGTGTACTGATTGACATAAATTATTTTTTTAATGATAATGTTAAATCTGCAGAATTAATTATTTTATGTGTCTTAGTTTTCTGATATCGGGGTTTGCTGTTACATCACCTGTTGTTCCAGGAAAATGTCAACCCCCAAAGTTGTATGGAAAACCAAAGGCCTTATCTATACATATAAAGTGGGGTAAGAATATAATGTTATTTACCTCATACTGTTTTTCTTTCTTAATTTTTAAAAAAAAAAAAAAAAAAACTTTTTATACACATGACTTTATATATCACTTAATCTATTATGTCATGTGTATATGAACATTTTTATGTATTTTAAATGTTTGTATTGTCAAATTAAATAAAAGCCTTTTGTACATAATATTAATGTGAAGAAGTCAAATGTAGCAAATGAATTCAATTATGCAGTTATTGAATCACAATTTTATGCAAAAATTAAAATTGCCTTATGTATAGTTAAATGCTATCATGCTTATTCTTTGTGTGATTAATTACATGCAGTAAAACTATAAAAGATTTAATGTTAGTCTGATTAAAAGAATTCATATTTCACACACCTTAAACATTCTTTTATTGGATATTAAAAATGTTTATGATTTAAAGTTAAGTTTGCATGTTCAGAAAATTCTTTTTTTAAGCCTTATATTATTATTATTTTGTTTCTGCAACTAAATATTTAAAATTTAGACGTATGTTTTACGTTTTTATATATATATGATATAATAAAAGCAAGGAAAGGAAAAGCTGGAACACTGTTGATGCATACGTAGATCCATATTGAAGAGGAAGAATTCTGATTTCATAGTATGCTAATATATCGACTTCGTAATATCTAAAAAAATTGGCAGTTGAGGCAGTTTTAATTCCATTTTTATTTTCTAGTTGATGTTTGTGGCCACAATCACTTGGCAGTCTAGTCATGCCCTTTTACAGAACATTTACATTTTTGATATTATTGCAACAGCAAGTGTGACAGTGAAGTTACGTCCTAGCAGGGTAGAGAGCAAAGTTGAAGTGTGTAGTTACGCGAGATGGAAGCACATGAAGAGAAACGTTTTGGTTTGAGTTAAAAGAGCTGTGCAGGCCATAGAATGATCTAGAAATGGTGCAATCCAGAGAAGTTGTTATGATTTTTAAAACAGAGAGGGAGAATTTATGTTTTACATGTTAGTTTAAATTATAATTTTTATTTATATATTTTTTATCTTACATATATATATTTCTGTTTAAGAATACTATGAATGCTAATGTTGAAGGGGAATAGAAAATTGATTGTTTCTCTCTGGCTGTAAATAATTAAAAAAATATTGGAATTTAGATTTTGAAGTTTAGGTATATTTGCTTGAAATAAGGCCTTTTTTTGCTCAGAAAGTTTCAAAATGTGTTTTGTAAAATTTCTGTTTTTAAAAAAGACAATGTGTGCAATATATGCACACAATTTATATATATGCATTCTATTTTATACTGTTACATATAGGATGATTACTTAATTTTATACTTGATTTGAAAACAAAGCATCCAAAGTTCTATGGGAAACTGTTATTATTTTCTATTATTTTGCAAGTTTTCAGATTCCTCTTTCTTAGAAAAAGTGAGAATTTTTATTTAAAGAAAGTTAATAGGTATCTTTGACAGCTCTAGCAAACTTCATATAACGGTTGCTGGAGAATTCTTTACTTTTAACTCCTCAATTTTTGTACCATTTCTTGGACAACATGCAGTCTGATGTTACCATGATTGATGATGATACACTTTTTAAATCATTGAATCTGGACATTTTAATGATTCTGTGCTGAGTTATTTTATTTTGCAAGTAGCTTGAATAAAATGACACCCTGCACATATTTTCATAGATAAAAGGTATCTTTGTTCACTGCATCTGAAATTCTGTCTGCTTGTTTTAAGTTTTCTTCTGTATTCTTACCCAACATTTATTGTTGATCTCCTATTATGACTTAATCTACAACAGCTGTTTCTCATGGGATTTGAGCAAAGAAGTGGCTGCAGAGACACAACCAAATGTACTTTTTCTCTTTAACATTGCAGCTTGGAATTGAATTCAGGTTTTGATAAGAAGTGGAAGTCAGATTTTGTATCTTCAACCCTTCTGAAATCTGTTAAGCAGTGATCCTTTATTTATTTTCCATTAAGGTATGCTCAACATTATTGCCACTGGAAAGGAGTCCAGAGCAAGGATTGTTGTCCAAGTTAAAGTCACCTTTTGAAATTTTCCAGATTACTTTTTTAATGTGTTGAGAATCATAGTAAATTTCAAGTGTTTATCTTGAAATATTTTTATTGTGGTTTCCATATCCATTTATTTTCTGAAATTCATGCAACATAATATGACAGAAATGTTGTCATTCTATATTTTGTCTAATCACCTGATAAACACAAATATACTGAATAATGTCTGTCTCTAAATTAATTGATTATAGTTACCTCTCAGTAGCTTTATTGCATGATCCTGAAATAAATTTTAGTCATCTAGTATTTTTGATGGCATAATGTTGTATAGCACTTATGTAATTAGTCTGATATTGTTGCTTAATGTTGAAAGCCATTATTTCTTTTCCTCTGATATTTACTCTACTTCTAATCTTTTCACTTATAAAAGCAGTGCTAGACAATTTCCCCATGATTTCCAGTTAGCTTCAGTTGTGAATTTATGTAAATAGAAAATAACAAATCATGTATGGAACTTGATGGTATGAAGTGCGAAAACAATGTTTTTAATCATTTGTTTCTATGTAGTGTAGATTGTCTGGTTTTCCACAAACATATGCCCCCTTTACACACAAACACCAAAAAATAAAAAAATAAAAATCTGAAATGTTTCAGATTTTAAATTATGTCCAAAGGGGCAGTGGGTGGTTTTTTTTTTTTTTTTTTTTTTTTTTTTTTTTTTTTTTTTTTTTTACACGTTTTGTGTGTTATCTTTATTTATTAAATATCATGTTTTTTGCACTTAAACCATAAAATTCAGTTCAATAACAATGTCGCAAAGTCATTTTAAAATGAGCATACCTTTAAAATTTCCGATACACAGTTTGATGCGCTGGAGATAAAAAGGTTCCACTCCCCGTAGGGTGTTGCCAATGCTTTGTTTTAAATCATTGAGTTTGTTACTCAAAAATTCATTAAAGTTTTACAAAATATAAAATTGATAATAAAACAAATTTCAAATTTGGGATTTCAGATGCCCATATTCGCAATAGGATTACATCTTTCAAAATTTTGATGGCTCTAAGTACCGTTGTTTTATCACAATTTGAGAAATATACATACATTTATGCAGATTTTTCATTATTTTAATTTCTTCAAATATAATGCAGGACTCTTAACATTTTGTAGCAACAGTTTGAAAAGTGAACCGACCTTTATAGGAGTCCGACGCAAAATGTTAAAACAAAAGTAATAATCCTTCGGGGCTCAAATCCCTTTAGACTAATAAAAAACTATGAAGGGATTCGGATTTTTAACATTGAACTAGAAAGTTTGTTACTGTTTTTCATACTCTCATTGAGCTGGCAGTTTATCAGTCTGCTCTTGGACTCACTGATATAACTTTGTCTTTTTAACCGATATTATTAAACATCCCTTTCTTCACACTTATGCCACATAAAATTCAACAACAAAATCACAAAATTTTTTACCTTTAGAATTCTTGATACAGTGATAATTGTTGCCATTCATTTTCCAGCTCTTAAGGACTATTATTTTCAAACCTCTTTTTTTCCCATCAAATCACTTTTGTTGCCCATTTTACTTTTGAAATAACTAGCTGCTAGTGCATCAGCTGCCTAAAGTAGTTGTATAAAAGGAAAAAAAAATAGAGTAAGAAATTTAGAACTAATATTTAACAGTAAAGAAAAACAAGCTTACCGATATTGATGACACAGCATCAGCATGTTGATCCATAATGAACAGCAAGAATTTTGATGGCATCCATTGAATCCATCATCATTATCATCCGATCCATATTGAAAAGGAAAAGAGTCAAACAAGGAAGATTAAATATTCATCTGTATTTTAAAAGGCATATTGCAGTGACAAACAGCTTGCTATACTACTTGTGCCTATTTCAAAATGTTTACAATTTTAACAGTTTTGCATGAAGAAGAGATAAGCAGTCCAGCTAGGCCAAAGTGTAGAAAGGAAGTGCAGTTGTGTTCAGCATGAAAACTTATTCCAGAATGAGTTAGTTAGAGACTGCTGTTTTTAGAAAAGGCAATATACAAATTAAAATGAAACATCAAAGGGCTATTGAAAATTTAAATTATAATTTATCTTTTAAAAATTTTATATTTTTCATGCATGTATAGAATGTTTTCAATAAATCCAGCTAATGTAATTTCAAGGATTCATCTGGTAAATAATAAAAAAGATAAAGAACTGCTTTTAACGTTTTAAAACGTTTAGTCTATTAATTGATAACAGACAAATTAAATTTAGAAGAAAAATTAAATAACTTACTCTTTGACAAATGGCAAGAAACTGACATGTGGAAGTTGAAAATATTTTAGATCTGATATCTTTAGAATTTCTGGTAAAATTTCTCATGATTTTTATGTAACTCGGCTTAATAATTCATTATTTGCACTCAAAAAAGTAGCTGCCAAAAATCACTTTTTTTCACCGGCTGCAATTGTAGAAGAAATAGGTTCAAGAAATTGGTTCAAGAAATTGGTATGCAAAATAAGTCTTCTGTTATTGATTGCACTAAAACAGCTCCATTCTATGTCTTTACAGATGGAAGCAATAATAATGTTGCAAAACTACAGGGTAACCCCAAAAGTTCTTGTCGTTTCTGATATGATATTGGAAGAGTGAACCCCATGGCAATTCTTCAGGATGATTGCCATGCACTTGGTACCATCAACGCACCAGGAATGGTAGGCATAAAGACTGATGTTGCAGGCATTAAAAAAAAAAAAAAAAAAAACAGGATTTGCAAAGTGTGAGGTGCACCTGTAACCTCTTAAATTTAGCAGCTGGAAAAGGGGCTGCTTCTTTACCAATAAGTGTGGATGAACACATTGTTGATATTTATTATTATCGTGAAAATTTTTAAAAGGAAGGAAGAATTGGAACAATTCCATCAGCTGCATAATAATAAAATAAGGAAAAATCTGAACCATGGATGTACATGCTGGTTAGCTTTAGAGAAATTTT